GCATACTGTATGTGCCATGATTTGATAAGGGTCCCCCAAAGACCTACATGCTGAAGACTTGGTGGCCCATCCATGGCACTACTGGGAAATACTTAGGAGGTGGGTCCTAGTGGGCGGAAGTGGAGGTCACTAGGGACATGTCCTTGAAGGGGATACTAGACTCCCACCTCCTCCCTCTATTTGCTTTCTGGCCTCCATGAGGTGAACAGTCTCCTTTTCCAGAAGCTTCTGCTGTGATATACTGTGTACAGGCCCAAAGTAACAGGGCCAAGCGACTGTGGACTGGAATCACAAACCAAAATAAACCTTTTCTCTCTTTAAGTTCATTTATCTTAGGTATTTGTCACAGCAACAGAAAACTGACTTACATAATATGCTCTTCACAGATGTGATTACATGAAGGATCTTGGGATTATTCTGGAAAATGCAGTATGGATGTTCTTCTAAGAGAATGGCAGAGGGAGAAGAGAAGGTGATATAAAGTTGAAGGCCAGCCAGTGTAACCAGAAGCCAAGGAAGGCTGCCCGCCACCAGATGCTGGAAATTGCAAGGAATGTTCTTTCATCGAACAGTTGACTGTGGGTATCTGAAGCCATGGAATGTGAAGTCAAGGATAGAAGGGTACTTCTTTATGTCAATTAGTTCCAGTGGTTGATAGTATCGTTCAGGTCTTCTATACCCTTCCTGACTTTCTGAATATTGTTTTATCGATTACTGAGAAAGCCTTCAATTACAATTGTCCAAATGTCTCTTTCTCCTCTTGGTTTTATCAGTTCTTACTTACTGTGTTTTGAGAGCCTGCTGTTGGGTGCACTTACACCCACTACATCTTTCTGATATATTTACCCTTTTATTATTATGAAATGGCCCTCTCTTCTTTGGCGATATTTCTTTGTTCAAAATCTATTTGTCTGATATTAGCAGAGCCAACATAGTTCTTTTTCGCTTCTCTCTGCCAGGTAGATATCATACCATCCTTTTATTATCAACCTGCTTGTTTCTATGCAACCAAATGTGTCTCTTACAGATGACCTAGAAGACACAACCTGTCATGCACACTCTGCCAAGGGTCTTCTGAGAAAGAAAAAGAGAGAAAAAAGTCTTACGCCCAATTGTTTCTCTTATAGACATTTCCTTGATTTTCACATATCTTCTGCTCCATGCTGCAATTCATTTGGTTTCCCCACATCCAGCATTTCTTTCCTGCTTAGTTTCTCCAAAGAACAACACTCTTGACTCATCCCTGGAAGTAGGAGGAGGAGAATTTGGAGGAATCACATGCCTGACTGAGGAGGGTGGTGAGGCGCCCTAGGAGGCTGACTGCTCAGAATACAGACACGATCCCGTCAGCGCAGCCCCCCTGTATGTGGTGCATCCAATTCCTGAGTGCGTCTTGACTCTGCAGGGATGAGCACTCTCCTCCCAAGAAAACCACTCTCTATAGGCACCATGGGTCAGAAACTGTCGCCCCTTCTAGATCAGTCATCATCATCATCTGGATGTGAGGTGTCCCCCATGATTGGATTATGACGGCCTTGATCCAATCAGTGAATTAATCCCCTAATAGAGATTAACTGGGTGGTTCCTGAAGGCAGGTAGGGTGTGGCTGGAGGAGGCGGGGCGTGCTTTTGGGGTACATATTTTGTATCTGGCCAGTGGAGATCTCTCTCTCTCTCTCTCTCTCTCTCTCCTGCTGATCATCATGTGAGCCACTTCCCTCCGCTACACTCCTCCGCCATGATGTTCTGCCTCCTCTTGAGCCCAGAGGAATGGAGCCAGCTGTCTATGGATTGAGGTCTCTGGAGCCATGGGCCCCAAGTAAACAGTCCCTCCTCTAAAATCATTGTGGTCAGATGTTGTGGTCACAGCAGCAGGAAATCTGACTAAAACAGTTCTCTGGACGAACAGAGCCAGCAGTCTATACAGGTAGGTCTGGTTATAAAAAGGGGATGTATTCAATTGGCTTCAACGACTGGAATCTGGATAGTCCTACAGTGGACGTTAGCAGGCTGGAGAGCTGCGTCGTCCCACAAGCTGCAGCCTCAGAAGGAGAGAGACCGATGATGCAGCCCCAGTCCAGGGTCAAAGGCCTGGAACCCCCCGGACAGTCACCCGTCAGAAGTCACCTTGGAAGGGTGAAGGAGCTGGAGTGTGATGACCTTGGGGATGACCTTGGGGGACCCTGGCAGAATCAAAGCACCTTCTCAGGAAGAACAGAGCTCGGATCTGCATCACCTTTCCTGTTCTTCCAGCTTCTTCTTCCATCCAGGCCCCTGACCTATGGGACCGTGGACAGTGCTGCCCACATTTAAGGTGGGTTTCCCCTCAGTCTGCCATCCCACCTGCCAATCATTCCCAGAAACGTCCTCACGGACCCAGCCAGGAGCCTTTTACTCTTCAATCAAGTTGACGATTCAGATTAACCACCACACATGGTATCATCTGATGTCTGTCTTCAAAAAAACCTGTTAGAAGTCTTGGTTTTCTATTATCTCGTGCACCTCACTTCCACCCATGGTCCGAATGCCTTCTCAGCACTGACTACCACGTCTGCATTTCTTCATTCAGCAAGAAAGGAGAGGAAAGGAGGAGGGGCACACCCCACACTCTGCTTTTAGCGACTTTCTGTGTCATGCACAAGGCTCTGCTCACTTCTTGAGGCCCTACTCACACAGCTACGCTAACGGTGGAGGCTGAGAATCATCACGTGTCCACAGGGACTCTGGGAGTCTACAGCCAAAGGAAAAAGGAAGACAGGAATTGGTGGACTTTTCTCAGTCTATCACACTATTGACCTAAATTAAAATAAATAAATAAATAGAAATAGATTCTCCAAAAACTAATGTTTATTTGGAAATCTTTTTGCAGTGAATGAAGCAGAGATTCACACACACCCTAGGAAACCATGAGTGTATTCAAGAGGCTGAGGCAAGGGGAAGTTTTGTTTTCGTTTGGTTCTGTTTTACTTTGCTTTGTTTTTCATGGTATCAGGGATCTAACCCAGCTACACTTTATCCCTGAGCTAAATCCCCAGCTCAGTTTATTTTTACTTTCAGACATGATCTTGCTAAGTTGCCCAGGCTGGCCTCTAATTTATGATCCTCCTGCTTCAGCCTCCTGAGTAGCTGGGAGGGATTACAGGTGTGCACCTCGATACCCGGTGACAAGGGGAAGATTTTTTAAAGAAAAGGATGATGCTTGGATTGCTGAGGCAGAAGTATCTTGAGTTCAAAGCTAGATTGGGCAACATAAGGAGACCCTAGCCAAATAAAAAATATAGAAATAGGATGATTGCATCAGATATTTTGCAATAATAAGGTTGGGCCATGATGACCAATAGCAAGAGTAGCCTCCGTCCAGGGTTGAGCAGATATTGCCTGGCAGCTGTCTTCATACAAGTGCTCTTTGTATAAGGTCGCAGTGGGCTCTGTGCAAGGTGGTGCTCTCACAGTCCTTTGTGGTAGTAACTAAAAGGTAGCCATGAGTAAAACATCCTTCCTTTGTAATCTCTCCGACTTAGTTGTTTTTGGTTATTGTTGTTAAAGTTGACATAACCGATTACATTTTGATTCTGACAACTTCTGCTACACTCAAGATGATGATTTTATTTCTAAAAGCATGAAATAAGCATATAGAAAAGAATAGCTATTCAACTCTGCATGCTGGGCCACACAGGTGAGTAGCACCTGGGCAGCGCTGACGCTGATTAGGGACTTTGTATTTGTTGGAAAAGTGAATGAATGTGAATGAGCTGCCCACTGAGCAGAGGGCGGTTTTCTGTGTTTACTATGGACCATGGTAGATGATAAAATCCATTTTTTTTTCTTTCTTTGAGTTTATCTTCCAAGAGAAAATATCAGCCCACCTCTGGTGGTCTATGCCAGCTCTGTGACTCTCTGTGTGTCTCTGTTGCATTTGGTCTTCAAATTCCAGATGCACTAATCAGAGCCAAGTAAAAAGACTGGAGAGATGAAAGAGAAAAGTCAAGGAATAGCGAGAAGTCTTTGTTTGGCTTACATGAGCCCACAGAGGCTCTCCCAGCACAGAGCGATGGAGACAGAACAATCCCAAGCTTATTAGCCATCGTCACGGTGAACTTGAAGCAGAAGGCATGATTAAATGGCTGGCATTTTTCAAAGAAGCAGAGACAGCACTGTTTAAAAAGTGGACATCTGTGAGCTAAAATGTTTCTGCAACTCAGCAGCAGAGCACTCTGCAGTGGGGAACGAGATAGGAAAGTTCCTTCTACAAAAAGCAGACAAGGTGCATCTAGGGGAGGGCTCATGAGCTAAGATAAAGATGTGAGAAGAACCTAGTAAGTTCCATCAACAATGTCAAAACCTTACTCCTTAAAGGTAAGAGGAGATACTGGGGTAGGGAAAATAGGGAACAGAAAGAAATCTTCTTTATCTAATCCATGGAGATGTACAGTAAGATTTGCACACATCTGTGCGACTTTTCTTTACATTTGCCGTAAGATCAAAATAAAGGTCCTTTATTCCCCTGAAGATATCTATTCAACAGGAATGTCCTGAGGACCTCCCACTCTAGTTGAGGTAATAAGAGGTCACTAGGAAGGGGGCGCATAGACAATGTCAGGTAGCACTGACGGCTAGGAAGACATTGACTGGGCAGTGGGAAGACAGGAATTAGTGAGACGGGCTGCGTTTGAGATGGGGTGGTCAGGGGAGGCACCTCTGGGGAAATGAGCCTTCAACAGACACTGGAGCATGAGAAGAAGCTGGTCAGGTGGACAGGTGGGTATAACAGGATGAGTGAGTCCCAAAGTCCTGAGGCTGAGAAGCTTAGCATGTCGGGTGTTGTAAAGGTCCTAGGGCTGACTCCAGTGTTTGGGGGACTGTAGCCCCATATGACACTGGTGAAGGAGGCCAGGGTTCCATCAGGACAGTCCGTTGCCATAGGAAGGGATTTCAGTTGTAGGTGTGGTGCAATGGAAGTTGCTGGAAGGTTTTAGGTGGGGAAGCAACGTCAACACTTACATGCCGATCACTGTGGCGACCCAGTGCAGAATGACCTGCATGAGGCCACAGCGGAGATGCACTAAGGGCTGACACAGAGTTGAGGCCAGAGACGATGACGACCTTGAGGAGGAGCCAGGTGGGCTTGTTTGTACACTCATCTTTGTTTCACCATGAACAAGGACAACGCAGAGGAGGAAAAGTCTATTTGGGCTCATGGTTTTGAGGTTTAATCCACGGTGGGCCGACTCCCTTGCTCTAGGCCCAAGGTGAGGCAGAACATCAGGGTGGAAGGGCTTGGTGAAGGAGTGCTGCTCAGTTCATGGCCACCTGGAAGAGGGAGAGCGAAAGGGGCCACAGGAAACATGAGCCCCTCCAGGGCACGTCTCCAGTGACCCACCTCCTCTAGCCACACCCCACCCGCCCACGGTCACCACCCAGTCAGTCCATTCAAACTAGGACGGACTGATTAGACCACAGCTGTCCTACTGCAATCATGTACCCCCAAATATCCCCACGTCAACACAGAAGCTCTGGGGGGACATCTCATCTCCAAGCCATAACAAGCCGTAAGATGAAACGATGCAGAAAGAATCAAGACAGATATCGAAGTGAATCCAAGAGGATTTGATGGTAGAGATGAGAAATTTTGTCCTAGAACTATCCATCATATACCAGACTCATTATCCTGTTTGATACTTGAATACAACTATGTGAATCCCAATCGAGAAAGGAGTGGGGAGAGAACCTCACGGGCAACAGTCTCCCGTGTTAGTGGAGAGTGGGCGTTACCACTGTAGGATCGCATCTCTTCCTAGTCAGATTTGTCATGGGGCTGGGGCTGTAGCTCAGTGACAGAGGGCTTGCCTAGCATGTGTGAGGCACTGGGTGGGATTCTCAGCACCACATAGAAATAAAATAAAGGTCCATCCACAACTAAAAGAAAAGAGAAAACTTTAAAAAGTTATTGTAATTTATCATGATTTGGTAAACCTACTACAAAAAATAACAACCTCAAGTGAGAAGTATTGTTACTAGATGCAGGATTCTAGATATTCTTTAATGAATGTGTGTGTACTTGTGTTCGTGTGTGTATGTTTGTAAGTGGGGCATATGTGTGCATCTGTATGTTTGTATGCACATATGTGTCTCTGTGTGTTTGGAAAGGTATGTGTATGTATGTATTTGTGTGTGTATGCGGGTGTGGTGTGTGTGTGCGTGTCTGCAGGTGTGTCTGTGCCTGCATGTTCTTGTTTGTGTGTGTGTGTGTACAACACTTGGAGTCCTCCAGAATATGAAGCCTATAGCAGGGATTCCTCCTGCTGGTTCTGAAGGCCTCTCTGGTCGTACCTCCCAAAAGAGCACGGGAAGGCAGACTATCCTTCTTGCATTCTGACGCTTCTACCCCTCAAGTGGCAAAGAGGTAGTGTAATGAAGCTTGTCTCCCTTGACCAGACTTTAGAGGGGTTTCTTCAGTGCTGACTAGGTCTTGACCTTGGTCATGTCCTACGAGAGCCTGATGAACGTCACGATGGCTATTTAACCAGTACCCATTGTCATCAGCATCTGCTCTCCCTTGTTATCCCATCCAACTCCTCACCTCCCACCCCCGACCCCTCCCCACAAGGTGATGTCTGGTCACTGGGCCCGTCTTTGTCAAGAATCCCGCTTGACGCTTCTGCTCAGGAATTTTCCATCCAGTGACCCCCGCCCTGCTCCTTGGCTGTAGATTCTCACTTTTCCTTATTGTACTTGGAGTGGAGCCCAGCTCTGTGCTGAGGTCTTTCCCCCCCATTGCAACATTGAGTAATATCTATTTTACCACTTTCTAGTTCTTTGACAAACATGCACTAGGAATCCTGAAAAAATGAGAACAGCCAATCACAAGTATTTATTGAACACCTACTCTTTGTTTACCACCGTCCTTGGACTGGAGGGGACACATATATAAGCAGTTTATGATATAACTGGAGACAAGTGACTTTTAAAGGGACAGGTGAAAGTCAGAGTCTATGTAATGGTGGCACCTAATCCATACACAACATGAAACTGGCAGCCAAGAAAGGACTGAATTGTGCGGAATAGAGAAAAATCTAGTTGTATGTCTTAAATGCTCAATGCAAAGGCATAAAGAAAGGAAGAATTCTGCACACTCTGAGAATCTTGGCTGCCCCGAAGGAGGGAGAGTATGTGGAATATGTGGAAAAAGAAAATGAGTCGAGAGAGACGTCCCTAACCGTGAAAGGATATAGGGCAGGAAGTGGCCTTTTTTATCAAAGAAAGGGAAAAGGTTATTAATAGAAATATGAAAACAATCAGTAAGAAGGTTGTTTATCTTACAATGTCCTTACCAAATAGACACTCAGGGCATGAAGCCACGTAGCCTTACAACCTCATCCATTTAAATCCAAACCTCCAGAGAAGGAGGAATTCTAGAATCCTGTTACTTTGCCAGGGGAGTTTATCGGGTACAGATGGCAGAGAATGCTGTCCTACAGGCTGACTTGTTTTTATCTTTGTTCTTCAGGTTGGGGACTGACCCAGGGTCTTTAGCATGCTGAGCACAGCCCACCCCTAAATCTACATCCCAGCTGCCTACTGACCGTGCATGTCATAGGGAAACTCTTCTGGGTTGGATCATTTCACCAGGCCAAGTTCACATGAAGTTCTAACCCCCAGGACCTAAAAATGTGACCTTATGTGTTGAGAAGGTCTTTACAGAGGCACATAATTATAAAGTTATGGGAGGTCATTAGGGTGAGTGCTAACCCAAAATGACTGGTGCTCTTATTAGAAGAAACTTGGACATAGGAACCCTCAGAGGGACAACCATGTAGGGATGCAGAAAGATGGCCATCTATGAGCTAAGGGGAAAGGCTGGAACAGGTTCTCGCCCCAGCCCCCAAAGGAACCAACGAGCGTGACACTTGGATCTCCAACTTCTGGCTTCAGAATGGTAAGATGAGAGATTTCTGCTGTTTAGGCCGTCCAGTCTAAAGCACTTGTAACAGTGACCCTAGCAAACTAAGATTTAGAAACCAGTACTTTCCACTTTTAAAAACCACACTGTGTGCATGCGGAAAAGGCCAGGAATAGTGGAGGTTTGCTGCCCATTATTTTCTGTATTTATCAAAACTATCCTCTAACTCGAATTAAGTTGGTTCTCGTTAGAGGACCTCTGGAAACATTTCAGAAATTGACCGTTCATTCCTCTTTTGTGAAACCCATCACAAAATAGTAAAACGTTTGCCTGGACAATCGGCCAACGTGTGCGTAAGTGACTATGCTGTCCCCGTCATCGTTCCCTCACCTAAGGCAAGAAAAAAGGTGGACGAGGGAGAGAGAGAGCAAAATCAAACACTTTCAACCAGATGCTTGAAACAGCCCCATTCTACGACTGCCCCAACGTGGACACGGTTGGCTGTTGTCTTAGGTACACTCCACGCTACCCTTAGATGCCCCCTGGGAATTCTTACTCAACCCCCAAGACTGGGCGCTCAGATGAGTGCCCTGGATTAACAAATAGTTATATTTTTAGAGCATTTTAAAATATTGTAGTCCCAGAACATAATTCCTGGGGGAATTCTGAAAACTTTGAACTCACAGAAGCAGTGGTTGCCAGGGACTCGGGGGAGGCATGGGGAGGGGGGGTGAGAATGTTGGTCAAAGGGTTTGCAGTTGCCAGTTGGATGAGCAAATTCTGGAGACCTACTGCTCAGTTTCAACACTGTAGTTAAAAAACAGTGTATCTTATAATTGAGCATTGCTAAGAAAAAAAGGAGAGAAAAATTCTTGGGAGGGGGTGAATTTTCTTTTAAAATTTGAGAGCTCTGACCCCTACCCCCCAAGTAGGACACTGCCAATGCTACCAGCCACGTTTCCTGTAGGTAAGGAGCAGGTGGCATCCCAATTTGGGAAGCATGTGTATTGGGGGGGGGGGCAGTAGGGCCTGAGAAGACATTTGACAGAAGATGCAAGAGTTCATGGGGGGCACACAGGAATAAGGACATGAAATGCTCGACTTGAATTCCACTGCTGATTTATTCTGCCACCTAGAACTTAAGCCTTATGGCTTTCTGGAAGCAGAGATGGGATGCGGAGAGTTAAGACTTGCTTATGGCCATCTTTCCCTCAAGCAGCAAGACTCACTGTGCCTCTGCAGGCCAGAACACAGCTCTGTATGGCACAGAAGCAGCACCACGGCGGGTGGACACCACCGCCCCTTTGGCAGTGTGACTGGAAAATCCACCCCGTCATCCCCCTGACTTGCTGCATGAAGCCTCCAAGTCTGAGGGCAAGTTTCGACACTTGCCTGCCATCTAGGACTCATCAGAGACTGACTGGGCCTGAAATCGTCCATTGGGTAATTAGTGGGGCTCCCCAGGAGCATTATGAAGTCGTCATTCCTGGCCGTGTTCAGTTGGCACGAGCTGCTTGCCCTCAGCGGCCAGTGGCCACTCTCAGTAGCCAGGGCTGATTCAAAATTGCATCCTGGGAAACTAATTCCCTTTCCTAAAAAGGGCTCCCCAAGAAAAAGGACCAAAGGTGGCATGAGCTAGAGAGTTCCTAAAGTCGCTGCCATATTTCTTTCTAGTTTTGGCCCAACCTGCTTAAAAAAAAAAAGGTAATGGGTTATTTCAACAAGCAAGCAGGGAGTTGCGGAGGCAGAGGATGTGACAGGGACATTGGAGGTCCTCTGTCCTGCCTCGGACCTGAGCAGTCTGCTCAGAAGTGACTAGGAAATGAGGAAACTTGAATGGAAATCCTCACTTTAATTTTAAATCCTCCTGGGATAAATCCAGATTAAGCCAGGTAAGCACGGTTGCCTTATTGGTGATCCTAAAACACTAGACTAGAAAGGTCCGGGTGCCTCCAACTCTAACAGCTTATTTGCAGTCCACTCAAAATTGGATCACTGCTGGGGCTGGAATATCAGCTCCTTCCCAACACTTCTTGGTGCTGCAGCACCAGTTTCCTAACAGAGAGGTCTACGTGGAGTTGTAGAGACTCCTGCTGCAAGGCAAAACAGTCTGACATAGAACTTGGGAAAAACCACAGCTTACAGCAAGCTCCGGGTTGCATTACCCTCAACATTTTTCTGATCCTCAGTTGCAATGCATTTTTAAATCCAGACGTGGTCTGGTAAAATGTATGCTATCCTATTCCACTTTCTGTTGCTATAAAAAAGTACCAGACATGAGAGGTTATTTAGCACACAAATCTGAAGGTGGGAATGCCCGAGATTGGGCAGCTGTTTCTGGTAAGGGCCCTGTGCTACTTCAGCTCATGGCAGAAGATGGAAGGGCAAGTGGGTGGTGTGTGCAG